TACAGTGGGGTCTTGACTTGAGAACTTAATCCGTATTGGAAGGTGGTTCTCAAGTCAAAAAGTTCTCAGGTCAAATCTGCATTTCCCATAGGAATGCATTGAAAACCATTTGATCTGTATCTGCTCTTTTCCGTCCATAGAAACTAATGGGAAGCTGCTATTCCGCCTTCGACCACTAGAGGGGGATATTTTGTTTCTTTTTTTCTTAGGTCAAGAAAGGTTCAGGGAAGGCAGGGAAAATACAGTCCAGGCAGTACCAGGCAGTCTGAAGACTGTCTCCCAATCCACTCTCTAAACGCTGGGAGGAGTGAGGAAGCAGACAGGCACCCTTTTCACTGGCCAACAGTTAACTGAAAGTTCAAATTTTGCACTTTCCCTGCCTCCCACGTGGTTTTTTTCAGTTCTTAACTCAAATCTAAGTATGTAAGTCAAGTCAATATTTTCCTATGAGAGCGGTTCTTAAGTCAAAATGTTCTTAACTCGAGCCATTCTTAAGTCAAGACCCCACTGTACCACGGCTAAAACCCATGGAAAAATCCACCCTCCATGAATTTTGTTTTGTTTTAAGCCAGTCATGACCATCTCATTTCATGCTACTGAATAAATTAATTGCGAGTTGTGGGAAGAAATATTTGCTTTTTGACTTCTGTTTACAAGCAGATGAGTAAACTTTCTGAATCCGGGAGCAGGATATTAAAAACAACAACAATTTTCTCCCACTCTTCAGTGCATGGGTGTGTGTGTGTGTATACCAAGCTACTACAAATTGCAAGAAGAGTCACACAGCTGAATGACTTTCTGTGTTGAAACCAGGAACACAACAAGAACTTGCTGTGTATAAAAAAAAAAAAACTGTTCAAAAAGAAGGCTACGGAGCTAATGCCTCTTCTTGACACATCGTTTTCTATTTGTAAGGAGCTTTATATATGAAGGAGCAGTCAGGCATGTGATTTCCATACTTGCAGCCTCTGACTTGCAAGGACAAAGTCTGCCACTTCATTAGCTCTTTCTGTGATGGAGGCCAAATACGGCAAGAACCTACCAGTAATTCCACCCAAAGCTTTGAAAGTCACACATCCGTGCCAATATTAAAACTGTTATTTTTCAGTCAAGCTAGGAGGATCAGCAAATTGATTCATCTGAGCATCTAGAACTGCCATACTGAAAGTGAAATTAAAAATAGGGTCATGCTTCATATTTGGAATTTATTCTGAAAACAGTCTGTATCCAAACTGATCCGAACCTAATCATGGAAGCCCAAATCGGTGCTCAAGTGAAATTCATTTAAACCGATTTACAGTGCATCTCGTCCGAGTGGGGAAGACACTGAACAAGTGGCCTGTGTGTTTATAGGACAGCTGCCCAGGAGCTAACGGTGGATGGGGAACTCCGTGGTTCCTAAATTCCCTACTTTAAGTTCTTTATCTTTAAATCAAGATGGGCAGCTCTTCCCCCCCCCAAAAAAGGACATGTCGCCATCCTACAAAACCACAACCCGCATTTTAAAAGATGGGTTTCTCTCCTCTGTATAAGCAAGGGAGAAGATCTCTCTCACCATTTTTGGTGAGGAGAGGAACAGCTATTTTATCACCGCTCTACCAGAGATAACCTTAGGTGACCTCACTGTAATGGGCTGGTCCTGACTTTTCTGTAGAACCTCCAGCTCTCAGGCACAGTTGCCCTGGTAAGTCCCAGCAAATCAAGTGCCTCTTCTACCAACCCCTCCTGCACAACAGAAATCCTTATTCAATTCTGCAACTGGCCAGGCAGCATCGGTGAGTATCAGTGTACCTTACTATCGAGTTTCTTCATGGTGACCAAATCAAGAGATTTCAGCGAATGCCCAGTTGGTGCAATGAAATATAAGCACGCATGAATCCTGGTGTCGTGGTAATTATACAGGGAGCGCTTGATCTTCAATTCTTCCTGCAGGTAGGCCTCAAACTGGGCATCGATGTATTCCACGATGGGCTTGTAGCTGAAAGAGAAGAACCACCAGAATTCAGATTCATTAACAACTGCTATTATTTACAATACTTTCTTTGAGATGAGCCATTGTCTTAGCTTGAGAGGCAGTTTCAGAGACATAGTCTACACAGTGAGTTGTGAGGAGAGCTTGCATTTTGTTTGACGTGAACACTTTTTATTCCCTCACAGTACAATCGTATAATCACAAGACCACTCCGGTAACATTCATCTACCCCTCGAAGATACCTGTGAAAAGTTCTGCAAGCCTACATCGCAACCTATACACTAAAAGAAAGATACAGGTAGCAGTATTAGAGGCAGATGGTTTGGGTCTGTCTCAAGGTTTTTTTTTTTTTTTTTTTTGACAACCCACCCACCACCTGCCTGCTATCTTGTGAAATCACAGCAAATACAGGTCATGATGCTGAATTTATTTGCTCAAGTTTTTGTAACACATGTCACACATCATTATGGCTCCTGGCATTCTACATATGGCTGATAGTGCCGTGTGGGAGAAATGTGATCCCTCCTACAGACAAAGTCTGTAGTTCGTCCTTGCTCAGAGACAGACAAGAGTTGTGGACCCTAACACAAGCTTGTAGGTCTTGCTTGGGTGAGCCTGTATCCCACAGCCACCTCTGAACAGCCTTTTCTTACATGTCAGCTCAAAGCAAGATGACAAGCTTATGTATCAGCCAGGTCCTACATTTAGTTCGCTTGGAGAAATATTAGTCACAGGTAGATTTTCAACTATAGATGAGCCCTTCCTGTCAAAACAGTTAATAATTAGCAGGGAGCTGATGTGATTGAGGGCCTGGTTATCAGGACATCCTATTTACATATTAAAAGATAAATTTAAAAGTCCCTAAAAGCTGTTCTTAGTGTCCTGCTTGTTACAGAGAGCATTTTATAGGAAAAAGGAAGACATCCTATCAAGGATTTCAATCTTAAAAAGTAAACATCTAGCAATAAATTAACATTGCTACTGGTGTCACAAAAGAAGTTTCTAAAGTTATCCATTTTAAGACAAGAACTGCATTTTGGGAAGAAGGCTTGACACTTTAATTGAAAACAAATAACATACGTATACAGGAAACATTTTGAGTACAAATTATAACACAGTGGCCAACAATTCTGAAGACTCTATAAATATCTAATTTTATACCTTCGCATCCACAATATTCAAAGCTGGATATTTGTTCAGGGTCTAACACAGAGGTCCTAATCATTTTGCCATGAAAGAAGACCTGGACTATTCTGGACATGAAAAGACACTCCACCAACCAGCCCGCTTCTCAACCTACTCAGAAACTCTACCGTGCTTTCTCTCACTCAGGGCTGAAATTCAAAGCAGATCTGGCCAGTATAGTTATTATTATTGTCTGTCTATTTATTATCTTGGGGTTTGGGCGCATAACCTTCTACTTGTGAGATAATTAATGGAAAACACAGCCAATACACAGTTCTATGGCACTTTAAAGATTAACAAAAACTTAAGTATGAGCTTTTGTGGACGGTGCTATATATGTAGTTTTAAACTTGTTAACTACAGACAACTGCTGCTAACTGAGTCAAAGGACTGGGCGTTTGTGGCATTGATGAAGTTCACATATTCTTCTTGTGTAGGAACGATAATACACAGAAACCATAATAAATTAATTTAAAGCTCTGTTTATAACAATAAATGTATCGATCTTTAAGATGATACTGAACTGATTCCTTCTGCAAACTTGCATGGCTATCTTTTAGCAAACAAGGCAAATCTTCAGAAAATTAAATGCATTTTTTAAAAAAAGATCTTTATTTTAATCAAAAGATTATACACATTTCCATTTCTTCTTTTGCCACTGTCTCACAACAGAATAATCTGAGTTATGGTAAAGTCACAGTGGCGAACTCTTTTAGCCTATGAGGCTGGCCTTTCTTCCTAAAGAGCCAGAATCCCACCCCTGAAATTCCTACACCCACAGCAAGCTTAGCATGCCAAAAATTTTCAACGCAACCCAATTTTGACGCTGTGGGCCTAGTCAGATTGGGTTAGCATTGCAACAATCCTCTGCTGTTAACAATCACAGCGATAAAATTTATGAACCTCTAATAGTTATTGTAGCACATGGGAGAGAACCTGCATCAATAATGACATCCAAAATACACAGCCTCTGATTATAAACTGTAGCTGTGCATGCAGTCAGTGGGGAAAGGGGGAAGAGGTAATGGGTGGGTTCCCAATGGGTCTTAGGCCTGAGGTAGCTTGGACAGGCAATTGTGTCTGTTCCTGCCACATAAACAAGAGAGAGGCAGGCAGCTGGATTCCCTCTCGGATTCCTTTCTTTGTGCAGAAAACCTTTAGCCTGAAATGTGGAGATGATGCAGCGCATTGTAATACTAACACCCTATCTTTGTGGGTTTGTGCAAAGCTGTGGAATGCAGAAGCTGAGGGAAAGTCCAAAATGGGAGGATATAGAACGCAGGAAAAAGGGAAAAAAAGGAATGGAGGAACAGACAGTGGCGGGTGAGGAAGGCTGGGGATGAGCAGAAGAACAGGGGGGTGCGGGTGGAAAGAGGACATTAAGAAAACTAGAAGGGGGGGGAATACACACAAAAGGTCTGAATATAATCTGGATATTATAATGAGGACCAGGATGCTCCACAGTTGTTGCTGGGTTTTTGTGTTGTTGTTTTTTTGTAATCACCGTACAATCCAGATTCTGTATGAATGACATATATCTGCATGATTTATGATGATTTGTGCAACAGATTCTCCATATTACTTTTTGCATAATTTACTCTGGTTTCGATTAGCACCGGAGGGAGTGAAAAGTTCTCTGAAGCATTAAAGTCCTATCATAAATGACTGCAAATCTTGTTTGGCCCCCCTCTGGTTTCTGTCAGCAGGTAACACCCATGCTTTTCAAGAAGTCTAGAAGCTTGTTTAGGGAAGAAACACTTCTCCACACAAAACTGCATTGTGAGTTCTTTCCACACTTACAAAACAATTTCGCATGTAAGATTGCAGAGATCAACAGTAAGTGTTAGACACTATTTATTTATAGCCAACTGTGTTAGTTGGCTGAGTGATAGGAGCAATAACTTAGCTTACAATTTATTTAAATTTAAATTATGCATTAAGTGTTAGAAATAAGTTGGAAATTAAGCTTTTATCTTAGGTTTAAGTTGGATGATAAACTTAACCCTCTTACATTACTTTACTGTAATGGGGGGGAAAATCCTGAGAAAGGGCACTGATCCACCCTGACATTCTCCAAGCACCACCGAGGTTGTCCAATCCTTGAGCCATAAAATCACGGAGTTGGAAGGAGCCTATAAGGCCATCAAGTCCAACCCCCTGGTCAAGGCAGGAATCCAATTAAAGTGTATCTGGTTGATGCTATATAATGTTCTCTTGAACGCTACCAGTGATGGGCAGCTCATCACCTCGAATTGATTCCACTGTGGCGCTGCTCTAACAGTCAGGAAGTTTTTCCTGATATTCCGCTGTGATCTGGCTTCCTGTAACAATCTCCATTGGCTTTCAACTCCACCCCACCTGATCCTTCTGTTGACGGTGGCGAAGTCTGAGAAGCAAAAATTGAAGGCTGACTTTCCTAAACAGTTTGTCTACTACTACAACAATGACAACAACAACTTTTTTATGATGATGATGATGATGATGATGATGATGATGATGATGATGATGATGATGATGATGATGATGATGATGATGATGATGATTTCTTCTTCTTCTTTTTCCACAGGATGCCAGAGTTGAATATAAAGAATTGGAAAAACTAATAAAGTACAGAGACCTGGCAATGGAAACATCTCACCTTTGGAAGAAACACACTTCAGTGGTCCCCATAGTCATTGGGGCTTTGGGAACAACATCAAGAAATTTCACACAGTATTATAAACAGTTGCAGTTCTCAGAAATCACACCACCATGAGAGCTATAAAAAACGGCAATATTAGGAAAAGCATACATATTGGGCCAATATTTAACAGATACTTAGGTTTTTGGTTAAAACTTGTATCTGCTATATAATACCAGTCAATGTTTTTATAATTTTGATTGACTGTGCCTGGTGTTTTAATAATAATAATAATAATAATAATAATAATAATAATAATAATAATAATAATAATAATAATAATAATAATAATAATAATAATAATTAGATTTAGTTGTCTGGCTGCAGAGTCAGAGTGCAATTCCTCACTGTGCCTCCAAAGGAGGAGGGGGAAGAACAGGAGAAAACCTCATTCTCCAGTCCTGTGCCTGGCCTTTTCATACCTGGGAAATCCTTCCATGAGTGAGACAAGTATCATGGTGATAAAGGAGGAGGGGGAAGAAGAGGAGAAAACCACGTTCTCCAGCCCTGTGCCTGGCCTTTTCATACATAGGAAATCCTTCCATGAGTGAGACAAGTATCTCAGAATTTGCCACTGGCTCACGGCTGTTTGGGCTGAGGGCTTTGTTCACGGGTGCAACCCATGTTAGGGAGGTGTGATCTCCAAGAGTTATGTCTCAGGTACTTGTGGGTTCCCCTTTTAAAATCACCCTGGACCTTCTCACAATTTGCCACTGGCTCACGGCTGTTTGGGCTGAGGGCTTTGTTCACGGGTTCAACCCATGTTAGGGAGTGTGATCTCCAAGAGTTATGTCTCAGGTGCTTGTGGGTTCCCCTTTTAAAATCACCCTGGACCTTTCAGTCTCATACAATAGCTGCTGCCACCTACCTACAACCATAAATCTCTTCCGATCATCGGTCCTCCTGAGTTTACAAACCTGATCCTACAAACTGGGGTGGAGCTGATCTTTTTTCCCGTGTTTGCTTCTCCTGTTTAAAAACAGAATAGAGCAGGACCCCTGTATCCACAGGAGATTGGTTCCAGGTCCCCCTGTGGATGCTGAAAAATGCAGATTATAGCGAACTCTATTATTATAGGGAATGTGTGAAGATTCTCGGTCATACAGGTGAGGTTATCTGGAAGTTCACTGATGGCAACTTG